TTTCATTGTAAGACTTTTTAAATGCATAACTAGCGCGTCATCACCCGTCAAAAAATTAAGACGGTGGGACGAAAAATCATTATCACCCCTCCGCCTCCTTGCCAGCCTTGTCTGCGGGGTTTTTTCTTGTCTTCAGGGTATGCAAACGGTACAACGTATTGGCTCCAAGGTGGCTTCAACGCATATTGTGGTGTTGCTCTCTTCGGGTTGATGCTGTGGAAAACCCTCAGGTACTCTACTATGACTTACAGAGTTTGTACCACGCCCAAAGACATTACCCAAACCGAAACGATACCAGGGCCGTTACGAAAACAGTTTGCACAATGACAAAAACTCGAAAAGTGTTGCACCTGGAACCAAGGTAAGGGGTTTTTCCTTGTTGATCAGGCGTCCCGGGAGTTTTGTTCCCATGTGGGCCAAGTCAAAATTCCGCTTCCCGAGTTTTGTTGATTTAGGCCCCAAAAAGAACAAAACTCAGGGGAGCGGAATTTGGACTTGGTCCATATAGAAACAAAACTCCGGTACGCCTTGATCAACAAGGAAAAAGGGTTTCCCCTTGGTTCCGGTGCTACATTTTTTGAATTATAGTCAGAAGTGCAAACTGTTGTCGTAACAGCCCTGGTATCTTTTCGGTTTGGGTATCATCCCTGCTTTTGGGTGTTGCTGAAGCTGTTTTTGGTTTCCTTCCAGGTTCTCGTGGCAGACCTGAAGTCCTTCATCGCCAAGCCCCGGGAATCATTTGACCCTGGTGCGGAGGAAAGGTACACTATCCCCCGGTTTACTGTTTTCTTTTTCACGTTCGTTTAAGCATTGTGCACGGTTAGCGCGACTCCTTGAAAAACAAGGACGGTTTGGCCCAAAAAAAGTAAATATGGAACACCCCAAGGAAGTTCCTTGGAAGTCTGCTCCCTTTCCCAAAGGGAAAGCCCCCCTTTTTCCAAGGCCGGTCCCGCGATTTCCAAGGACGGTCCCTTGGTGTGTCGCACGCCGGACAAATTCCAAGGGCCCGCCTTTTTTTGGGGAGCGCGCCCCCAAAGGGGGGCGCCTTGGTAGTTCTGTGCCGGTTCAAGGAGCCGCCCTGGTCTGGGTTTTGTCGATCCAAGACGTCGCCTTGTTTGTGCCCGCGAGTCCCAGGAACGTCCTTGCCGGAGCCCGCAAGTCCAAGGAGGCTCCTTGTTTGTGCTCACAAGGCCAAGGGACCTCCTTGATTCTTGCTGCAGCCCCATGGAAAAGTCTTGAAATGATCAGATCACGGCTTCAAGCAAGAGATTTTAAATTAAAATAAACGTCTTGCAAAATCTTCTTGTAGTCCGTTATGTGGGAAAGTTCAAATTTTCGCGCCATTCTCACCAGCGCCACCTTCGCGGTGCGGCGGACATCTGAAATTATTTGAAAGGCTGTGAGGTGGAATGCCATTTCAGTCCACCTGTGCGAGTTTGTGAAGCCGGATGTGTGTGCCGTTGCATCTTTTTGAGTATCCTTCTTCCTTTCCTTTTTGAATCAATCATTTTCGTTTTCCGCCGCGCCTGAAGAAAGATGTAGGGAATATTTGCGACCAAAGAGAAGTACTATCATCGCCTTTGCCTCTCGGTTTCGGGCCTGTTGTGAAATGCCATAACCTCCGTAGGCAACCTTAGCACCTTTGTGTATTTCTTGCTGTCTGTGGCTTATCTCATGCCCTAACAGTAAAACATTCTTACCGTTTAATGCCTGCTTCGCTTTCCATCGTCCGCTTTCAATTCTCTAGCGTTGGCGTACTTGCAAGACCCAAAAATATTGAGAAGGTTTGTTCTTGCCTGCCAGCTGACGCCATCGGCCGTTGGCTTTGAGTCGAAATAAATATCTTTAGTGGTTCGTGTTCTCGTTCGGACAGTGTTTCACTTCGTTTTAGACGCGTTCTGTGTTTTGTTTTCTTAGTACTTTGGTGCTTTTCTTATTGAAATGATACACGCCTTGTTTAATTTTCTCCCGGTTCACACAGCACTCAAGCCTTTGGTCTTGAGCTAGTGAATCAATCTATTAACTATGCCAAAATAACCTTACCTTGAGAGTGTTTGCATTCTGCATGGTGCAGTTTCGCTTGTCACTTCACATCTAATGCACTCTAGCCTTTGGTGTTGAGCCAGGGAATCAATCAATTAAATTTGCCAAAATAACCTTACCTCGAGAGTGTTAGCATTCCGCACTATGCATGTTTTGTCACTTCACATCTAAAGGAATGTCACGCTTTATTTATAATTTTGTACCCTGTTCCAGGTTGTTCGTGTTCTGCTGTCCTGCTCTTCCTGTTTGTTAGCTGGCTTCTAGAAAAGCTGAGTCTGCTTACCTTGGTTAACGTCTTCTCGGCCCAAAGCACCATACTTCAAAGTTGAAATCGTAAGTCTTCCTTCTTAACCGGTTCTTTTGAATAACGGAACTCTGATCCTTGTGGATGTGCGCGTCTTTAAATGTTATTTTTATCAGTCTTCCCACTGCATTGCTTTGCATGGCTGGAGTTTAACAACCTCATATCAAGCACATCAACTTGTGACAGCTTTCATGTTCTTAATTTTACTTCCCTTTCACCTTCATTTGCCAAGTTTCTTTCTCCTTTTTTATACAGAGTTTTTATCTAGTCAGTCAAGCTCTTTCTTTAAATAGATGTGTTTTACTTTCTTGCTTGTGTCTATCTGGAATGATTTGCCCCTTGTACTCTTGTCTCTCTCTTCTCAATTTGCATTAACTATTATGATATTTAAATGGTAGCCCTTGTATTGAGCAAGGGAATCAATCGATTTAATTTGACAAAATAACCTGACCCAGATAATGTTTGCACTCTCCACTTTTGCTTGTTGTTTCTTATCAAAGGAAATGTCTGTGTATATTTATAATTTTGTACCCTGTTCCAGGTTGTTCGTGTTTTGGTTCTGCCGCCCTGGTTATGCTGCTTGCTGGCGTGCTCCTGAGTGGCTGTCTCCGCTCATCTTCTTTATCGTCTCCACTCCCTGGTCTTGTTTTGCAATTGTTTGTAAGTTCACCACCCCTGCCTTCTTGACTGGAGCAAACTTTACTCTTTTTTTTTTAAATTGGAAGTCTTTCTTCTAGACCTATGTTTTGAATAAGGAAACTCTGTTTCTTGTTGATGTGGATTTTGGATCCAATTCTTTGGATGTTATTTTTATTTTTATGTATCTTCCCACTGCATTCCTTAGCATGGCTAGAGTTCAACATCCTCATATCAAACACATCAACTTGTGACAGGTTTCATGTTTGGATCCTGTTTTCAAACTAACTCTGTGAGCTTTCAAAGCTCTCTATCTAAGTAGAATCAGGGTTTATTATTTTGTCCACTCTCTTAACATAATTTGCCATTCCCTTTCACCTTTATTTGCCAAGTTTCTCTCTTCTTTTTTAAGAGTTTCTAGCTAGTCAGGCAAGCTCTTTCTTGAGACAGATGTGTTTTACTTTCTTGCTTGTGTCTATCTGGAATGATTTGCCCCTTGTTCTCTTGTCTCTCTCTTCTCAATGTGCATTAACTATTATGATATTTAAATGGTAGCCCTTGTATTGAGCAAGGGAATCAATCGATTTAATTTGACAAAATAACCTGACCCAGATAATGTTTGTATTCTCCACTTTTGCTTGTTGTTTCTTATCAAAGGAAATGTCTGTGTATATTTATAATTTTGTACCCTGTTTCAGGTTGTTCGTGTTTTGGTTCTGCGGCTGTTTGCTGGCTGGCTTGTGAGGCTCATCTTGTTTACCGTTCCGAATTCTTGGTCTTGTTTAGTAATTGTAAGTTCACCCTCCCTGCCTTCTTGACTGGACCAAACTATACTTTTCTATTTCAAAGCTGTAAATTCCCTTGTATGTGATAAATTTAATAATTCCCATGCTTACATACTGTTATGTTTTGGGGTGAGAGCAATGGGTAATTTTTAATTGGGTCTTTCCAAGCAAATGTCAACGAACACTGCCGCATGGAACTGCAGTATTGAATGGCATCGAGTTAATCTCTGTGGTTGTTTTCCTCTTTTGATTATTGTGTTGTGATGGGGTCTCTTCTGAGAGCGACCAATTCCATATCAGCTGAGGATGGAAGGCGGTTGGGGTTCTGTTTTTTTGTATTTGAAAGTGATGATGTGAGAGGCGCTTTCCTATTATTTTTGAATTTTTATTCTATATATTTTTCACATTTTAGAAACTGAGCAATAACTGTGTGCTGTTGTGTTTGTTAGCTAAGTCTAGTATTTTGTTGCCCTTTGGTATTGTTTATTTTATTTCGTGACCTGGGCTTCTAGTCAAGTATTGTCTCCTATCATTAAGTACTGCTAGGTGTTTGTAAATATCCTGGCTTATATCGAGTGTGTTGTGTGTGCTTGGTGGGACTTGTTTGGTGGGACCTGTGATGTGGTCGCCCCACTCTTAGTTCATGATTTTTTGCTGTTAGTGCTGTACGAGTGATGTGGGAGATGGTTCTGAAAATTCTGTGCAATAGTATTTCTTTGTTTTCTACATGTATGCGTGGTGTGTGATGTGAAATGTTTTTTAGATGTAGGAATATTGTTGATCTTTTGTTCGTGTCTTGCTTTGTATTTTGGGGGCAAAATCGGAACTAATGTTGTTATCATTGTGTAATTCTTCTTTCCATATTGAACACTTTGATTCATAATTATGCTTAGTTGAGTTATAGATAGGAGAAATTTTGTTAAATAAATGCGTTTTTTCGATGTGTTATTAATGCTGATGTACTAGGTTGGAAATTCCTCTATTCCTCATATGATAAATCTTAAGTATGCATTGTGTGTTGCACAACTTAGCTAAGAATGCAAACATTTGATAATTTGATTTCATCCGTGCACTGTTTTTACTTAGGAGTCAGTAAGGCTAGTCAACAGAAATGAAACAGTTACTTCTGTTGGTCAAGTACCATCATGAACTAGGGTTAAAATGGACTACTTTTCCCAAAGCCTTCCGCTGGCCATGTTCTTAGAACTCCTACCCTATCAAGTCATTCGCACTTTGCCACATACATACATATCACAGTAAAATTCATTGCACGTAGAGGAGGGAAGGAACATAATGATTTATTCAAAGTTCACTATCAAAAGTCATTTGTTTCTTCTGTACTAACAACACTAACATAATATATACATAAAGTGTATAGAAACATAACCATGGAAACAAGGCTGACAGCAATTTGAGAAACAGTCACTTGGTGACTTCAATTAACACCAAACAAAAATAATTAAATGATAATTTCAAGCAAATAAATCAAACATTCTACATCTTTATATAGATAAATACATAACAGCAAATATAACATATAATATATTACAGAATGAAAATTTTAAACGACTAAATCAAGCATTCTATATGTCTAAAATTTCTTTCTTTGAATCAGTCCTACTTCTGAACTAAAGCTCTTACAGCAGCATTCAATTTTGACACACTAACCAATGGAGTTTGATTGATACCAGCCAGGCATTCAAAGTAATTGATAACAGCCCTCATAAAGATTTGAAAACAGGCTCACAGCAGTAATTTTAGAAACATTTACTTTAAGACTTCAATTAACACCAATCAAAGTTCTAAACTTTAAAATTAAAATGTAGCAAATATAACATGTAAAATATTACAGAATGAAAATGTTAAACTACTAAATCAAGCATTCTTTATGTTCAAAATTCCTTTGTTTAAATCAGCCTTACTTTTGAACTAAAGCTCTTACAGCAGCATTCAATTTTGACACACTAACCAATGGAGTTTGATTGATACCAGCCAGGCATTCAAAGTAATTGATAACAGCCTTCATAAAGATTTGAAAACAGGCTCACAGCAGCAATTTTAGAAACATTCACTTCAAGACTTCAATTAACACCAATCAAAGTTCTAAACTTTAAAATTAATATGTAGCAAATATAACATGTAATATATTACAGAATGAAAATTTTAAACTACTAAATCAAGCATTCTATATGTCTAAAATTTCTTTCTTTGAATCAGTCCTACTTCTGAACTAAAGCTCTTACAGCAGCATTCAATTTTGACACACTAACCAATGGAGTTTGATTGATACCAGCCAGGCATTTAAAGTAATTGATAACAGCCCTCATAAAGATTTGAAAACAGGCTCACAGCAGTAATTTTAGAAACATTTACTTTAAGACTTCAATTAACACCAATCAAAGTTCTAAACTTTAAAATTAAAATGTAGCAAATATAACATGTAAAATATTACAGAATGAAAATTTTAAACTACTAAATCAAGCATTCTATATGTCTAAAATTTCTTTCTTTGAATCAGTCCTACTTCTGAACTAAAGCTCTTACAGCAGCATTCAATTTTGACACAGTGACCAAAGGATTTTGATTGATACCAGCAAGGCATTCAAAGTAATTGAATACAGCCCTCATGTATGGGTGATATGCAAGATTGAAAACAAAATGCGCCTTCATGGCTAGAGCAATAGCCTTGATTACAATTTCACCGGCATTTACATTGTCTACGGATCCAACAAGGAATGTTTTCTTGTCAATTTTAAGATACATTTTGCCTGAGAGACGATCTTTAGTTGTCCACAGAAGGAAGGGAAACATTGGTGATGGAATATCCTTGCGTGTTTCCACTGAGTCATAGCTTTCTACATCTGTTCCTTCCTATGAGCACAAACAAATTAAGAAGAAGAATTAAGAAGAACTCAGATTGGAAACAATTCACTATGAAACTCGAAAGTGTGGAGATTTACTTACCGGCACAATTTGCAACAAAGCGCTACTTGGAAATTTCTGAATTGACTCCTTGAATAATTTGAAATGTTCCAAATGATCTTGTGGCGCAGTTTTGGAGTTAAGAGTAAGGGTCAGAAGTTTGGGTAGGAGCACAAGGGCCTGCAGCTCTTCTGCAAAATAAAGACAAAATGCAATAAGATTACTGCAAATGAACCACAAAAACCTTGATAGATGAAGTCCATTGCAACACCGTACCAATGTCAAATAAAGCATTGACTTCAGTAAACATGTCAGGTTTCACCAGTGAACAATGTTTCACAATATAATTAGCTATCTTTTTAAACCTGGGTACAATATCAACTTCCAATGGTTCAATGCGAGAGAATTCTTCTGATATCTGCAAGAAACAGAAACGACATTAGTGTCAATGCAAAGAAAGACCAATAATAAAGGAAAAGTTGGAAATGATAAGCACAGAATCGACTTTAATACCATTTCTCCTTCGTAACTGGCAAGATGTGGGTATTCTTCCAAAATGTCAGTGCAAGTTGGTCTCTCGTTTAATATCCAATTCCGTCTCCCCTGGTATGTTGCATGTAAAGCTCTACTTATTTCGTCCTTATTTCTGCTAGTTGGTACAGCATCACGCATCCAAGATTTCTGAAAGTTGAAAATAATTATTGGAAACAGAGCATGTCACTTAAAACACAGGTTTCTTCACACACATTGCTGTACCTTTGAGTTAGTTATATCATCAGGTTCAATTTGACTATCACTTGTTGTGATTTTGGCACCAGCAGATGATGGACCAGCTTTTCCTTTAGCCTTACTTGACTTATCAGATGAAACTCTTTTGGAGTTCTTTTTCTTTTCAGGAGGTAATTTTGATTGGACCGTCTCAAACTTTGTCTTCACTATGCGAAGCCAGGATGCCTGTCAAATAAGGAAGTTTAAAATAAATCAAATGCAACTGCAGAATAAAGAAAATACAAAAAATACAAAAAACGAAAAGAGAAAAATTTCTTACTCACCCAAGGACAGTCCCCTTCATCAGCTAGTTCGGGAAAATCCTTTGTAATACCTTTGGCCATAGATATTTTTACTTGGCTTTCTGGATAGCTAAATGCACCACAAAAGAAAGAGAGAAGGGTAAGAACACTTCAACATCAGATATTAAAATTCTTGATATAACTGAAGGACTTACTACTTCAAGGGGCTTTCTCGGCCGACGGTCACGTGTCGAAATAGAATGTTCAAAAGTGAAGTCTGATGCGATACATCTAGTCCTCCTTTCTCTTTAATGAAATTCCGAACCTTTTTGCCAGCCTCTGTATCATTCAAGATCCCTAAAACATCCATGGGTTCCTGCAAATAAATTTCATCAATTAATTCTTGAATAAATCCTAGCTAGATCAGACTTCGATAAGAGTAAAGAGGAGAGGGAACAAACCACACTATACGCATCCACTTTGGAAGCTTTACTCTTACTAGCAACATCTGATTCCCTTTTCTTCCTTTTTTTTATGATAGAGGAACTGATGCATGGGTGAATGTCAAACATTATTGCCTCATTAGTAGAGTTGCAACAAAGAATACCATTGTCGTCAATGTATCCTCCCAACTCACGAACCCCCTGAAAGCAAACAGAAAATTGTAATTACAATATATCTGAAAGAGAAAGTTCAATAAATTAATAAAATAAAATCAAAACATACAAGATCATCAGAGTCGTCAGTGACCACAATAGATGTAACAGAAGCTCCCTCTTCAGTAGTGAGATTATCAGCAGGAGGAGGAGCGGGGTTCCCAAATTTCTCAATAATTTTCATTAATGCTTGCCTTTGAGCATAATTGATATCTTTGCTAAAATTTTCAATCAAAATCTTATCTGTAAAGCTCAACAGCATATCTCCATCAATATCATTGCCTGCAAGAAAGAAACGAAAAAACTTCAGGTCAAATAAACAAAGAACTAGTAAGTTTCACAATTGCAGAAATTCAGAACGCAAGGATGCAGCTGAAAGAATTAACATAAATACCAGCAAAAAAAAAGACTGACAGAAAACCATGCATTACAGAACCGTCTACCGATTATGGATAAAACTAGTTAAGGAACACATAGTTACACCCAATAGTACTTGTAGCATGCAACTCACCATATAGTCAGAAAACCAAATATTTGAGACAAAGGTAAGTAGCATCAGAGGAATAGTCACTCCATTTGCTGATGGGTGGGTGAAGGGGAAGGTCTGATACATTGAATAAGTGGGTAGGCGCATTTTCTGGCAAGACAATTGAATATGAATTGAAGCGCTCTACCAATCCTGCGGTGCACCATGACTGAAGACTAAGGAGGATCATATCGTTGATTTCAGGGTCAATGACAGCCCTAATCCTGCCAAACCGTGGCAATTCATCAGGGTTATCAGATGCTTTGCTGTACATTACAAACTCCCCTCGACGATACTCAAAACCATTCACTGTTACAGCATCAGCAACAAACAATTCATCATCAGCTTGGTACCCTAATGCATACAGGTGGGCAGCTACAGTCAGAGTGTTCACAGTAGCAGACCTCCTCCTGATGAATTTCACTTCCCTTTCAATGTCAGGACTCTGGGTACCCCAAACTTTGGCCTGTGCAACTTGTACCTGCTCCATAGCTGTTTTAGATGGATTGATAAAATTATTGCATGTTGCAACATGTCTTTTCACAGGGCAATTCTTTCCCTCATTCCTGAAGCATGCAAATGGCTTCATTGGGCCCATTTCCAACATATTCATCCAACTGTGCATCAGGTGGTGAAATTTATTTGGTGGGTCCACCCCTGGATACAAAATGTACCAGCTCATAAAGAATACATGAAGCAGTCTTCTCAAGTATGGAATGACAGTATTTCTGGGAATACATGGAGCCAATTCTATTTGATAAATACGATGAACCAACAGTAACATTTGAAGATGCTCATGCTCCTCAGGCACACCAGCACCATCTTCTCCAATGCCATCCAATAAAAATGGAAGTGCTCGAAGCAGAACTAGGGTTTGAACTGAATTCATTTTTTGATTGTGCACATGTTGAGCTTGTGCAAGGGAATCAAATGAAAAGTTTGGGGTGGGTTTATCTTTGGAATTTTGCTTGCCATAGTGAAAAGCAAATATTCTCTGGTTGAGTTCTTGCACTGAAAATAACCCCTCAACACAAATGAACTGCCTCAAGGTGAGGCGTATAACCATCATTATCACACCTTCTGGGCCATCATGTTGAATGTCAAATAGTCTGTTATTTTCCACACGAAAACCAGGAATGTCATTCAAACATGTTCTGTACCTGATACCACACTCAGTAGTGAAAGCGTCATTCTGGGCCACTCGCTGGAGCTGCCAATCAGTGAGTTCAGGTGTTCTATTCTCACCAAACATTACATTCCCTTGATGCAGTTCTTGCCTGCTTATCATGCATAAGGGGCAAAAGTGGCGAGCACCACATCCCAAAAACCCCAGCACTTCATGAATCGCCTTGGCATCTCCTTTCACAGCCACTAATTTGGCTCGTAATTCCACAAAACCATCATCGGTAAAAGTCCTCACACCTTCCTCCTGCAGTATACGCATTTCTTGAACAAATCGATGAAGTACAGCTTGAAAAGTACCGTTGCAATCCTGAGTGTTGGCCAAAATAATTGGATGGATGCTACTCAAACTGGACCGATCCACTGCTGGCATATTGAGAATTTCCACCTGAAAGTTGCCCAACGAATGAAGGCCACTTTTAGACCCTAGAGAGCGTGCTGGATCAACATCATCATAATACAATGCTACTTGAAAAGCATGCGGAAATTGTTGAAAGAAAGCACTTCTGCGAAATTGGTCACCATCTGTATAGCACCTGAGCATACCATCCTGAGATGGAAGTAAATTATTTATATACTCCATTATCCTGGGTTTCCTTGCAATCAGTTTGAGGATGTCAGTAATAGAAACATATTCATAAGTTCGAGGAACAGGCACCAGCCCATATTCAGCATCATCTTCGAGGCGTTGGTCTAATCTTTCTTCTATGTGACAAGAGATCGGTGTAACATACTGGTAGTAGGTCTTGATACCAGAGATTTGGCCAGTCTTGGATTTGAGACCAACAAAAGGACTTTTTTCTTCAAATTTTGCCAGAAGTGCTCTGCCTTGAGGACTGTCAATCTGCCCAACATTGTTAAGGTATTGTGCCACATCTGCCTGCAGTGACAGATTGTTCACCTTCAATACTAGGTCAGCGCCAACCACCGCTTTCCTAGCACCTTCTCGTGTCATGGCTGGAACACTTCTCATATTAACAAGCATGTTAACTGCAGCATGTTTAGCATCCCTGCGGCCGTCTGGAAGTCTTTCCAACCTGTCCATGTCATCTCGTCCCCTGGGACCATTCCGAAGTCTATGTAACTCATCCATGTCATCATCTCCATCCCAATCACTGCTACCATCACTGCTACCATCACTGCTGTCACTGTCGTTTTCAAAGGAATCCTCAAGCTCTTGATTGTCATCGTCAGCATTAATTTGATTCTGATTGGCATTGTCCTCATTCCTGATGTTGTGATTATGATTCTCCTCAACCCCATGATTGGGAAGGTGGTGAATTTGCGTGTGGTCTTTCCATCCACGATAAGTAGCAAAGCGCCCACCACAAATACCACAACCAAAGCCACCTGGTAAGCCTTGAGTGACACGGATCCCGTGGACAAGCAATAAATGGTGCCGAACCCCATGAAACAGATTTTGTTGTTCCGCACCACATGCAGGACACAAAACTAATTGATCCATTTCCAAGCAGAAATTGAACTCAATAAGACTTCCAAAAGTCTTAAAAGAAAAAAAAAACCAATAAGACACAAGGCAAACTAAAAAGCACACAAAACAAGCAACTCAAGCTTCCAATAGACAAACATAAAAAAAACTAGATACTCACAGCGGAGGCAATCCAAGGTCTCTGGTTTCAAATTAGTATATCCAGAGAGGAAAGCCTGCACTTCAGCCACGGAGCTGTCTTTGGACAGTTGAGGTAGTGAACCCATCACAACACTATAATCAAAAGAGGAAAACAACCAAAAAGATTAACATGATGCCATACAATACTGCAGTTGCATGTGGCAGTGTTCGTAGACATTTGCTTAGATAGACCCAATTAAAAATTACCCATTGGTCTCACCCCAAAGTATAACAATATGTGAGAATGAGAATTATTGAATTTATGACATACAAGGGAATCTACAGCTTTGAAAAAGTAAAATATGGTTTGGTCCAGTCATGAAGGCAGGGAAGGTGAACTTACAATTGCAAAACAAGACCAAGAATTCGGGAAGGTAACCAAGATGAGCCTCACAACCCAGCCAGCAAACAGCAAAGGCAGGGCCGCAGAACCAAAGCACGAACAACCTGGAACAAGGTAAAAAATTGTAAATATACAGGGACATTTCTTTTCATAAGAAACAACAAGCAAAAATGGAGAATGCAAACATTCTCTGGTCAGGTAATATCTTTAAATTTAGTTGATTGATTCCCTTGCTCAATACAAATGCACATTGAGAAGTGAGAGACAAAACAACAAAGAGTGAATCATTCCAGATAGACACATGCCAGAAAGCAAACCACAAACGTCACCTTACGTGAGCATGGCTATTAAATTTATAAATTTATTTATAAAATAAATTTATTTTAATACAAGTAAAATCACGGCTTTAAAAAAGTATAGCATAGTTTGATCCAGCCAAGAAGGCAGTGGTGTTGAACTTACAAACAATTGCAAAACAAGACCAGGGAATGGAGACGATAAAGAAGATGAGCGGAGACAGCCACTCAGAAGCACGCCAGCAAGCAGCATAACCAGGGCGGCAGAACCAAAACACGAACAACCTGAAACAGGGTACAAAATTATAAATATACACAGACATTTCCTTTGATAAGAAACAACAAGCAAAAATGGAGATTACAAACATTATCTGGTTATTTTGTCAAATTAAATCGATTGATTCCCTTGCTCAATACAAGGGCTACCATTTAAATATCATAATAGTTAATGCACATTGAGAAGAGAGAGACAAGAGAACAAGGGGCAAATCATTCCAGATAGACACAAGCAAGAAAGTAAAACACATCTGTCTCAAGAAAGAGCTTGCCTGACTAGCTAGAAACTCTTAAAAAAGAAGAGAGAAACTTGGCAAATAAAGGTGAAAGGGAATGGCAAATTATGTTAAGAGAGTGGACAAAATAATAAACCCTGATTCTACTTAGATAGAGAGCTTTGAAAGCTCACAGAGTTAGTTTGAAAACAGGATCCAAACATGAAACCTGTCACAAGTTGATGTGTTTGATATGAGGATGTTGAACTCTAGCCATGCTAAGGAATGCAGTGGGAAGATACATAAAAATAAAAATAACATCCAAAGAATTGGATCCAAAATCCACATCAACAAGAAACAGAGTTTCCTTATTCAAAACATAGGTTTAGAAGAAAGACTTCCAATTTAAAAAAAAAGAGTAAAGTTTGCTCCAGTCAAGAAGGCAGGGGTGGTGAACTTACAAACAATTGCAAAACAAGACCAGGGAGTGGAGACGATAAAGAAGATGAGCGGAGACAGCCACTCAGGAGCACGCCAGCAAGCAGCATAACCAGGGCGGCAGAACCAAAACACGAACAACCTGGAACAGGGTACAAAATTATAAATATACACAGACATTTCCTTTGATAAGAAACAACAAGCAAAAGTGGAGAGTGCAAACATTATCTGGGTCAGGTTATTTTGTCAAATTAAATCGATTGATTCCCTTGCTCAATACAAGGGCTACCATTTAAATATCATAATAGTTAATGCACATTGAGAAGAGAGAGACAAGAGAACAAGGGGCAAATCATTCCAGATAGACACAAGCAAGAAAGTAAAACACATCTGTCTCAAGAAAGAGCTTGCCTGACTAGCTAAAAACTCTGTATAAAAAAGGAGAAAGAAACTTGGCAAATGAAGGTGAAAGGGAAGTAAAATTAAGAACATGAAAGCTGTCACAAGTTGATGTGCTTGATATGAGGTTGTTAAACTCCAGCCATGCAAAGCAATGCAGTGGGAAGACTGATAAAAATAACATTTAAAGACGCGCACATCCACAAGGATCAGAGTTCCGTTATTCAAAAGAACCGGTTAAGAAGGAAGACTTACGATTTCAACTTTGAAGTATGGTGCTTTGGGCCGAGAAGACGTTAACCAAGGTAAGCAGACTCAGCTTTTCTAGAAGCCAGCTAACAAACAGGAAGAGCAGGACAGCAGAACACGAACAACCTGGAACAGGGTACAAAATTATAAATAAAGCGTGACATTCCTTTAGATGTGAAGTGACAAAACATGCATAGTGCGGAATGCTAACACTCTCGAGGTAAGGTTATTTTGGCAAATTTAATTGATTGATTCCCTGGCTCAACACCAAAGGCTAGAGTGCATTAGATGTGAAGTGACAAGCGAAACTGCACCATGCAGAATGCAAACACTCTCAAGGTAAGGTTATTTTGGCATAGTTAATAGATTGATTCACTAGCTCAAGACCAAAGGCTTGAGTGCTGTGTGAACCGGGAGAAAATTAAACAAGGCGTGTATCATTTCAATAAGAAAAGCACCAAAGTACTAAGAAAACAAAACACAGAACGCGTCTAAAACGAAGTGAAACACTGTCCGAACGAGAACACGAACCACTAAAGATATTTATTTCGACTCAAAGCCAACGGCCGATGGCGTCAGCTGGCAGGCAAGAACAAACCTTCTCAATATTTTTGGGTCTTGCAAGTACGCCAACGCTAGAGAATTGAAAGCGGACGATGGAAAGCGAAGCAGGCATTAAACGGTAAGAATGTTTTACTGTTAGGGCATGAGATAAGCCACAGACAGCAAGAAATACACAAAGGTGCTAAGGTTGCCTACGGAGGTTATGGCATTTCACAACAGGCCCGAAACCGAGAGGCAAAGGCGATGATAGTACTTCTCTTTGGTCGCAAATATTCCCTACATCTTTCTTCAGGCGCGGCGGAAAACGAAAATGATTGATTCAAAAAGGAAAGGAAGAAGGATACTCAAAAAGATGCAACGGCACACACATCCGGCTTCACAAACTCGCACAGGTGGACTGAAATGGCATTCCACCTCACAGCCTTTCAAATAATTTCAGATGTCCGCCGCACCGCGAAGGTGGCGCTGGTGAGAATGGCGCGAAAATTTGAACTTTCCCACATAACGGACTACAAGAAGATTTTGCAAGACGTTTATTTTAATTTAAAATCTCTTGCTTGAAGCCGTGATCTGATCATTTCAAGGCTTTTCCATGGGGCTGCAGCAAGAATCAAGGAGGTCCCTTGGCCTTGTGAGCACAAACAAGGAGCCTCCTTGGACTTGCGGGCTCCGGCAAGGACGTTCCTGGGACTCGCGGGCACAAACAAGGCGACGTCTTGGATCGACACAACCAGACCAGGGCGGCTCCTTGAACCGGCACAGAACTACCAAGGCGCCCCCTTGGAGGCGCGCTCCCAAAACAAGGCGGGCCCTTGGAATTTGTCCGGCGTGCGACACACCAAGGGACCGTCCTTGGAAATCGCGGGACCGGCCTTGGAAAACAGGGGAGCTTCCTTGGAATGGGAGCAGACTTCCAAGGAACTTCCTTGGAGTGTTCCATATTTACTTGTTTTGGCCAAACCGTCCTTGTTTTTCAAGGAGTCGCGCTAACCGTGTACGCTCAATTTCGTGATAAAGCCATGCGTTAAAATAAAACAGGAGTAGTACTGTGAGTTTGCAGTTTCTGATCATATGCCTATCATCTCTTTAAAATCATCCTATGACATTTCTTTTTGAGTGTTTTTGTTCGTTTGTATTTTATGTGCCTTCCCTATTTTAGCATTACGTAGTATTTGTCTTTTGTGCAGTGTGTTATCCAGCTGTGGTCTATGGCAGTGGACTTGCAGTGTTTTGCCGTGTGCCAGTTCAGCATGTGGATATGGGCGCGGTGGATGCGTCGGTCTCCGAAGCCACTTCAGGTCAGATCAAAGGAGCTTTCATGTCAGAACATCTCGCTTCCCGTAACTCTAACTCAGAAGTGTGTGCAAAGCATTCTTCATGTTGGAGCATTCCTCGACTCCCATGTACCACGTGGGCCAGAAGCCCCGTGACAAAATGAAAGATGTGCAGTCCTGCCAAACACGCCCGCTGCCACTGTAGCAAAAAGATACGGAAAATTCTGTTATTTTGTTTGCCAAGATTCTCCGTAGTCCTATCAATATTCTCCGCGGGAACTAACAGTATTTTCCGTAGGATCTCACAGTTTCCTCCGTTGGACTTGACAGTGTTCTCGAAAGAACTACTATAAAGTCTGTAAAGGTGGCCGTCAGGTAAGGCCACGTCCAAATATTTGGGGTTTTTTTGAGAATAGTTCACATGTGATGGTTTCAAATGGTA